CGGAAAGAGTTGAAATGACATGCAAAAATACTAATAGACATTATGGTGACCGTTTCATAAACAACTGATTAAAAACAGTTGTCAGTGTTATCTATCAATGTCTGTTGTATGCAAGGGAAGATATTTATTGTGATTTTTCTCTCTTCTTTTGTCCAGAATCCTGTCCGAGATGACGCGGACAATGAATGAATGACAGCACTGCATCATCTGTTCGTAGTTTGTCTCACATAATTCATGTTCTCAGCCTTTGTAAAATAAGTTATTTTGGCACTTTTACACACAGGTCCACACATGAATCTAGTTCACTGTGTACGTATCACAAAAAAGGAAAAACAAATCAGGCCGTTGCTGAATGTTTTTTCCGTTATTTCCTATGCATCCTTTGCCCCCAGTTCATAACTTTCACAAAAGATTGCAAACCAAATATTTTCGGGGGAACCAAAAATTCCACCAAATAATCACGATTTGATGTTTTTATGTTTCTATACCACCAGCCGTCGAATTGAGGATGTAATTAACTACCATTTCCAACATTGTCGTTTAGAATGGAAAATGACACGGAATATGTATGTGTTGCTGTAATTTTTTTTTTCAATTATAGGCCCACCAAATCACAAATGACGTCACATCACTAAAATTTGTAATGGTTTCGACCGTCAAAGTTTAGAGTGCATTCTTTGTAATAAAAGTAGAGAAAGTATTTCTGATTCAGTTGTTTTGTTGTCATTCGTCGACAGGTATGTTTAATGTGGTAGGACTGATGTAAAAATGAGTGCAACCATTAAGCATCAAATAAGTGGTGCCCTCAAAGTTGCAGGACTGTTGTCAACAATGGTTGCAGTACAGTGTCTAAATGGTTGAAGTACAAGCTGCAGTAACGTTCCCCAAATGTTTCAGTACCGTACCAAATTAGTTACTAAAACGTCCCTCAAATGTTGTAGTGCTGTACTCAAGACGTTGCAGTAACGTCACTGGAATGTTACATTAACGTGACTACAAAGTTGCATAGACGTGCCCACAAGGTTGTGAATAGGTTTCTATATCGTGCTCATCAAGATGTAATCACGTCCCAAAGAGGTTGCATACGCATATCTACAACTACATTTAGCTACTACGTTCCAAATGTGTTGCAATGCGTTGTTATATACGTTGCATTTAGGAAGCTGCATAGTTGTATTGACGTACCCACAAGTTGTACAAACATCCTCGCCAAGGTTGCAGTAATGTGGCAGTTAAGTCGTGGTCGCGTTCCTACAGGGTTGTAAAGACGTATCTATTACGTGCCGATTAAGTTGCCAAAACGTTGTGGTAAAAATCAGATCGTAAGTATGTCGCTGTTACGTGCCCAAATGTTGTATAAACGTGATATTTCAGTTGCAGCATTGTTGCGGACACGTCAAAGCATCATGTCCTATTGACGTTGTAAAAACGTCTTCATAATGTTGTGCGATGACGTTGTGGCAATGAAACTGGGAGTCGACATTTTTACGTAGCTACAACATCACTTTTGTAACATTGTGGAAACAAAAACGTGACCTTGTGGCAATGTCGTCACAACGTCAAATTGTTAGCTGGGTATACACTACACTGATGTTATGCACCACTGTTAAAACAGGATGTTGGTAAAAGTTGGAGGTACTTGTACATGTAGCTGGAGGCAGCCGGAGGTAGCATTTAACATGTTTAACATTAAGTAAGGCACTTAAATGTGTACTCACTCACCCTCCTGGTACGAAGGATCACTTTCTCATCGAGCTTCTTTTTGTGGCCCAAAAGCATCCCAAGAAGGGATCTTACCGTGAGTCAAAATTGACCCCTTCTGTAGCGATGGTACGATGGGTGTACATGTACACGACTTGTGTAGGCTACAGTACTGCGATGCCACACAAAAAGGCAAGCAAACCACCAACCTTGAAAGAACAACTATAGAGGCTCTAACAGAACCTGTTTATTAAAACATGTTTCTCTGCATGAAAACAGGGGAAACATAATCCAGACATGCCAAATTGAATTCTTAAGTTAATGAAGGTTGGTGAACCCTCTGAAAGCAGTGTATACATGTTATGCTTAGGCTGAATGCTTTCAGAAGAAGTCATTTTAGTTATTTTATTTCTTCATTAAATTTGAAGGCAATTGTTTTTTGTGTGTATACATGTCCAGTGCATGGCGGCGCTAAGTCCTTCTAGGGTACATGTGTTAAAAATTGCTGTGTATCAGGGCAGACTGACAAGGGCTCACAGGGTCCTAGCAACAGGTAACGTTTGAGTTGTTGTACATTGTGAAACACTGTACTTTTTGGGCGGGTAGGTGAAATGGAGAGGCAGTAAAGGACATGATAAAGGAGATGAGGGTAGAGATGGAAAGTGGTAGCTGGGGATCCGAATACAGATGAGAGACTCAGGAAGTATTTAAAAGCTGCGCATGTGATATTATCCTCATTTATTTCTTTCATTGGAACTCTTGCTCACAACAGAGTGAATTTTGTTAGCTTATTGCCGCAAAACTGAAAGTAAAACTGGCAGTGGAGCTCCTTGTCAATCAGCGTTGGTCATTGGAGGATTCCAAAAGATAATGTATGATAAGGAATCTAATGTTCACTATTCAAGATTAGCAAATTTTGAACTAAACGCGTCCTATTTTTTCTGTGAAGAGAAATAAGCAAACTTTCTACTTGATAACTGTAATTTTAAAAGAGATTGCATTTTACAAATGAGTCTTACTGTCAAAGTACACTGTTGAATTAATCGTATTGGCGACAGAGGCATTAAATTGTAGATACAGTACATGACACCGGGGGTGATTGGAGAATTAGCCTCTGAGATAACAGCAGTATCTTTGAAGGATCTTCTGGTATGTTAACATCGGTTTACATGAAAATTGAATCACCTGTCATTTTAAATTTCACATCAACATTTTAACACTCTTTGCATTTCGGCTTGTGAATACTTCTGGTAACTACTGTCGCATTCGCAGCAGCACTTTCAAAGACACCACAATCGCTTCCATTCTTCTTGAAGGGTACATCAGTCGGCACAAAAACCTGCCAATTTGACACGGGAAACGATGTTGAATACGTTACAGCAAGAAGAGTGTCGTACATGACCATGAATGAGGCTGCAGAGTGCATGTTTTCTCCATGGAAGGAGTTTACAATAACCAACTGTCTTAGTACGACCAACAGTATCCAGTGGTTACCGTGGACTATCACAGGTCAAAGCCAGACGTCTTTCTCTAAGATGCAATGAGCAAGGGCCCACTTTACGACAAGTTCTACTTTACCCTCTTCCCATGTGAGAAATGCATGGTAATTTGCAACAAGGAATGTGACAGAGCTGTCAGGAGACTGTTGCTGAAGGCAACACTTGTCTATAAATGCCAGAATAATCAGGGGTGGGATTTCTCCAGATTTTTCTGAATTCCCAGAATTTCTGTGAGACTATCCGGAATTTCTGTGGGACTTTCCAGATTTTTGTATTGTCAGTGCTTTCAATATGTAAAGCAAAGACTACAATATTTGGTGTGAAACTAAGTGAAAGACTTGCACAAGTTTAGTTGTATAGCATGCACTTTTGCGTTGTTACTCCCCCTGGAATTACATGTAGGTAACGGTACATTGAACGGAGAGGGTATCATTGTTAAAACATAGGGACCCAGGCCAGCGGTATGATCGTTGTGTGTATGTACATGTATTTTTACTGTGTTTGCAACTACATACATTCTGGAGAAACAAGGTATGAATGAAATTACTGAAACCTGGTTGGACCTTCTCTTATTAATGAGGTCCGACTGTACTTGTAAATCTAACTTCAGAGATAGTGGACCTTATGTAGGGCTGCTAGTCTTTTTCCTTCTTTGTACATTGGCATATTTTGTCTACAATGAAACATGACACAGGACAAAAGTTAAAGTTAGCATTTCTTTTGTGAATGTATTTTTTCTGCAGATGATATTTCTAATTAGACAGGTTTTTCTGCTTATAAAAAAAGCAAGCAATGTATTTAGTAAAATTGCAGCGGGTGATACTTTTAACAACTCTGTCACTTAAATGAAATCCAACATTGCAGAAAAAGTGAAAGCAATAAATGTGTCTTGTTTCCTCTGCATACAATGCATCGCTTGCCAATTTTTGAGGCAGGACAAATCCCACTGAAGTTAATAAATGCACACAGTAAGGTGGGGCTGGAATGGTAACAAATTTGATAAGTTGAAGTTGTTTCCGGTGATAAAGTAATAGAGTGTACTTAATGTGGAATAATCATCGGAAGATAAAGGTATTTATCGAAACAAGTAAGCGAATCATAGGGACTACTGGAGTACCTTAAATCTCCATGGCTGAATTCATTTTTTGGTCACCATTTCCAACAAATAAACTTAGCAGTGGCTAACATGGTGGTCAGAACTGGTTGAACCTGGCTTTTGGTCTTCATGCAATAAATGGATTAATTAAGCAAGAAGAAATAAAGTCAAAGGCATTCATTGATAGTGTGAATTTGAAGCAGGCCTCAGGGAAATCCATTAGATACATGTACATGTACTTGGCCAAAGTTCTTTCTCTTGTTTTTTAGTGCATGTCGAAGCTGTTTTGGTGAACTTTCTAACTGAAGTCC